ATCCTTTTTACTGGAAGCGAGGAATTCCATCCAAATCCTCACAGATGACAACGCATCTGCATTTTGATTGTTTATTGAGGATAGATGTAGATGTTTACCGGTCACAGTACCCACTTACCATCAGGTGGACTGTGTGCTCGTTTGTCACCCTATCATATAAAAAAAAACATTATATTTATTCAGCTTTGAATATTTCTAGCAACATAAGCTACAAACATAACAACCTATTATTTATGGGATTTGATGTGTTTAAAGCCATATAATTGATAAATCCTCATTTTATTCATTTCTTATTATTTATTAGTTGTGTAGTTCATTACAACGTGAAATACACTCTCATAACTAAATCCTAGATAAGAACTTGCATCTCGGTTTACCCGTATTCGATAACAGTCGGTGTAATACTAATATTTGGCCGCGTTTAATTTGAGTATTTTCCATGAGTTTTAACAGTGGTAGGGCCACGCGGCAGCTTTTGCTGTCGCACGGATGGGCCGGCTCGAACCGGGGTGGTACCACGACCTCACAGAAAAACAACGTGAAATAGAGGTTTATTTCTGCGTTTCGCTTGGCGAGTGCAGGTGGCCGGAGGCCCTTTTTACTGGAAATGAGGCATTCCATCTTAGTCCTCACGGGTGACAACGCATCTACATTTTGATTTGTAATAGAGGATAGATGTAGATGTCTATGGGCCGCAGCAACCACTTACCATCAGGTGGACTGTGCGCTCGTTTGTCACCCTTATCATATAAATAAAAAATATGGTAAACAACCAATAGTTTGCCATTTCATCACATGGTTCACTTTTCGGTAGATGGCGGATTAATCACCCAGCTTATGCTAAATTAATTATATAAAATTATATATTTAATATATAATTAAAATAAAATTATAATCAATTAAATTACCCCTAACGGCGGCAGGAAGCTGCAACAAAGTGCGAGACGTCTGGTATGGTCACGCGTCGCTATTGATGAAAAAGACGGATTTTAATTTAAATATCTGATATTTAATATGCTATGCACCACCCGCCGCATAGCTGTGCAAACTATTTGCGTTTGTGGGTCTGAGGTAAAAGGCCGCGTGTCGGGTCGTTGAACGGAGTATCCGTGTCACTTTATCCTTATCGTAAAGATATTTCAACACTTTGTTTGCTCCTATAGACATAGACATAGATTTATATCAGCATAAGTCTATGTTATGTATATGTATTGTGTTAGCATCGACAATCTCACAACAATACACTAAGTATAATAAACAACATTAATACGTTACTAAAAATAAGCTAAATAAAAAAAAAGAAAATTAATATGTCTAGAAATGAATGAATTATAACAACCAGCCACGGTTAGAGGTCACTTTATTGGAAAATATATTTCTAAAAGTTATTTCTATTCAATACATCTCAATCGAAAGACCAGTTACTTGAACTAATCAAAATATAATGTTCTCCTTTTTCTTTTTAAATTATATAGGTACATAATTCGACAACCATGACCAGACCGCATTATATTTATTTACCGCGCCATAATAAAAACCATTCATTCTTATATGTAATATATATATATATATATATATATATATATATATATATATATATATACGTCTAACTACGTTCATAACCTTTACTTACTTTAAATGGGTTTTGCTAATTTTCACTACACAGTCAGAATTTTTTGCAATCTTTATTAACTATTGATTAACTATTTTGTTAACAGACTGAAATATTACGCATAAAAGTCAAGTAAGACACGATCTGCTGAGTGGGTGACGCCACCGTCTATACTATTAATATGATAGCTGCTATAAAATTTCCGTACTTTATCTTTTAGTTCACATATTTCCGCGTTAACTCTTTCGTAAAATTTAGTTAAAATGAGTATATTCCATGTAGGGTATCTTAGTTTAATGGTCTCATAAAACCGGTCGGATACGTTGTAGTTTTTGGTTTTCTAACGAGCTAACGACTACAAAAAGTAGACGGTACTCAATTCGACTGTATGTTTTTTATTTATTTATTTATTTATTCTTTAATGCATTCCTTAAAACAAAAGAATACAAAGGGCGGACTTAAGGCCTTGAGGCATTCTCTACCAGTCAACCCATGGAGTGGTGAGAATTTGACGTAGGTGCGGCAATATAGAATAAAATAACACTACACAAAATAATAATTCACTACATAATACATACAATTTACTAATAAATAAACTATACATATATGACGTATACAAACATATATACAAATATATACATACAAATATACATATTTAAATACATAATATATAATTAGTACATACAAATACCTATGAATATATGCGTCTGTTTAGCAATACATATCAAATGGATGAATCAAGTAAAATGCTTTGTCTTCAATAGATGATTACGGACCATTTTTTTAAAAACATACTTATTGGGTGCTTTTCTGATGTCATCGGGCAAGGAGTTCCAAAGGCGTGTAGCCTGGACTGTGAAGGAGTTGCCATAGAACTCGGTGAAGTGAACAGGAATACAGATTTTGTTGTTAGAAGAAGAACGTAGAACCCTATCATGAGATGAGGAGAGATAGTGAAATTTACTCTTAAGATAAGAAGGCGAAGATGGGTCATTTAAAATGTTTATTTAATGTGTGTTACCTCATAACTTTTTTCTGGGTGTACCGATTTAGATGATTCTTTTTTATTTGAATGGTGGTGCTTCTCATATGGCCCCATATAAATTTGATCAAGTTCTGACCAACAGTTTTTGAGTTATTCTTAATAATTTATATTGAGGTCGGTTGTAAAGATATTTAATTTTAAATTGTTATTAAAGATCCGATTCTGAGATTATTTGCTAAGTACCTAGATGATAGAAAGCGCTTGCAATTCCCCTAGTCTTGCAGTTGTTTAAGGGCGACGGCACTTACCATCAGGTGAGCCGCATACTCGTTTCTATAAACAATAAATATAGCCAAGCTTTGCTCAGTGTTAGAAAAATAAATTATATTTTCAATGATGAAACCTATTAATAAATTTTAGCCAAATCGATACTAACTAGTAACTTAGAAACTAATCACATAATATATAATATATGCTTCGCACGGGTGATTTCACATGCTCAACAACAGCGTCACCTACCGAGTCCCATTGCGAATCTAAACCATCCAGGAACCCACTCAAACACATACCAAAAAATTCATCAATCAGTCCAGCCTTTTAGGTGGAGTTTAGAGACGGACACACATATAGAAACACCTATAAAATTGCCGTTCTGCAGTATGTACTGGCCACTTCAAATCAAAAATATACAAAATTGTAGTTTAAATTTAATTTAACAGGTTTTGTTTTGTATCAAAAAAATATTCCATACTTTTACAATGGTTGTATATATTTTTTAATACTTAATTATTGAATGCACGTCCAACTCAGCTTCACCTTGTATAATTAACTGTATATTTGATCCTGTCTACTTATATAAGACTACAGATATAATATCCTGCTGTCTTTTGTTTAGTTTATTAAATGCCTTAGTTGTTGAATTTTATGACGCCCACAGGACGCGGTACGGTGAAAAATTATCTTCATTTTTAGCTTAAGTATTACTTACTTTATCAGGAAAGTTCTTATTTCTAGCATTAGTTAAAATTTAATGCTTGTGATAATTTTTTTCTGTTACTGAGCTGAGATTACCACACATATCGCCAGCTTTATTAAGTCCACTGCTACAAAAATGCGCTAGCTGCAAGAGTCCCTTGGAACAATATCTCATGTTCACTACGCCGGACAGGCGGGTTGATGATCACCTCATACCCACCTACATAGCCGATACCCTCGCAACGACAATGCTGTTCCTTATCACCAGTCTGTAAAATTTATTTTGGTTCATTATTTTAGATGGATTTTCCACCTACATGCAGTTACTAGAGCTAGAGCCTCGTTAATCCTCCGTTAATGAGCATGGTATACTGGGTTCACTTGAAGTTTCCATGGTATATTCCCTCTTAGGTACATTTCAACTGTGATTATATTAACTGAGATTATAACCAGTGAGAAGAAAACAAGATTTTATACAAAAACTAATGTATTTCATATATTATGTCGTTCTAACGATTTTGTTCATCGTCATCATTATTGTAACAGTCCAGTATGCATGGGTTATACCTTGCTCACTCTTTAACAAAGATATTGAATCTCTATATTTCAAATAACTAGTTATAGATTGATATCTACGTGGTTCTGAAATGAAATTAGTACGCAGCAGTTTGGTTTGTTGATGATATTGTATTACCCAATGATATTTGTATTATGTTTAAGTATTGGTTAATATATATTGCAGTGATTGTTATATTTATTTTACTTAACATTTGTATATTTATAGCTCTCGATAGATTGCATTGGTATTTACTATGGTTGCGACGCTTGGCAAGCGGGTTGGCAAATACAGTTTTATTACCTATTTTCGGGTGTTATCAGGGATATGCTGCTGCCTTTCTCCTGTTTCAGTTTCCCTCTGTCTCGCCTCTTATAACACCCACGGTATTCTATTGGGTATTTGATTCAATTACGCCGCCGCTACACGGTCATTGATCACTTTTTGAGATATTCTCTCAAATATATTTCGCATTTTTTCGCGCTCTCATGGTTCTAGTTGCAGCGGTATCTAATAATTAGTTTTCCTGTCGTCCGATTGTTTGTTTTAACGATTTGTATTCCGCATTCCTACCCTCTAGTGCTGAAAACGTGCCTCTCAAACCGCGGGAAAGATCTGCCGCAATCCGTCACGCTTGGCAGACATAATCCTTTACACTACGCCCTTTGCCGGTGTGCGTTTTCCCATTATGTTTAAATTACAAGATGTTACTCGCTTATTAGATTAGTCTGATTTTTTTTTATATTATCCCATAGTCACTTCTTATTACATTCACGAGGCGAAATGAAGCGTTACATTAAAAAACGCCGCAATCACACAACGATTCATAACTATAATACAAGTAGTAGGTATCGTGGAAAATGAAAAAGTATTACAGAATATCGTGTAATATATTAATAAGGTTGCACCATTTCACACTGGGTATTACATACATATTCTAACAAATTTTTACAATCAGTATATTTATGTGTATCATATTATAAACATCAATATGTACAAGGGATGAAATATAAAATTATTTGGAAGTAACATGTACGACTGTTCTGACAATTTATTTGTAACAAGTTAGTTATAATAAAATCGATAATATAATCGACTATAATATCACTTAAAAATCCGTCAAGCCATAGAGGAATAAAGATGTAGATATATAATATAAACGCCCAAAAACATACCTTCTTTTCAAGCAGTTGAGTGAAGAGCATCTTTGATTTTCTTGGCTTTAACCCTGTAGTAGAAGTTGTTAGTAGTCCAACATATGTATTGCTATTTTATACAAGTAGGCGCAACCTGACAAAGTTTATCCATTCGAAATATAACAGTAATATCTCTTTTTACATTAAACTAATCTAGGCATATTATGGTTTTAAGTATTAAACTGAAGATTTTATAATTCTATCATTATTAGAATAAAATGCTACCTATATCACAATAAAGTTGTTTTCATTCCTAATATACTTATACTTTGTTACTCGAGGACTTAATTAACTATCCAAGCGAACATTTGTTCTGGGCCCTCTTTTCCCTGTGCCCTCTTTTCCTAAAATAGGGTCGCTTCCGATTCGGCAGAAAGCCGGCTGTCGTGGTATGCATAAAGCATTCACCACCTCCTCGCGTTAACGGGGTAGCCCTTTTCAATTTCTTCTGGGCGCAAAAAAAGTGAAAATTTGATGAACATTATGAAGAAATGAGTTACTTATTATTAGTTATTGTAACTAGATATATTTTATAACAAGATAATACTGTAATTTTGTAAAAAATTGCCTTCTGTGAACACGACAGCCAATCCATAGCTTATTGGATGTATCTAATTTTATTTATGTTAAAGATATTTTAAAAATACATAAAATTAATAACATTTTTAATGGTTTCAAAGAAAATTTTAAATGACAGTGTCAAATAGATATTCAATAAGTACTTACTTTTACTTAAGGTATTTCAAATTGCATGACCTATTATTCTAATTAATTTTTTTTTCACAGGTACTGATAAAAAATATGTTATAAAAGGTAACATTATAAAATTAAAAAGCCTTTAGTTATTTATTTTTTACAAAAATGTACACTATAATAAATAAAGTACAGGCAACATATTTCCAAATTTCCTCACCATTATTTTAATTAATGGCACGACTTACTTCAATGTAGCTCTGGCTCTGTCACATTTCTATAATTACTTAAATTCAAGCAATAATTTAATACGTCGAACATTTTAAAACGAATTAAAGAGAAGATTCCGCTTTTTTATTTTTCTCTTTATCCTCACTTGACGATTGCAAACTGCCATGTTTCCAATCAGGTGGGTAGCCGTATTGTCGCACATCGTCCCACCATTGTTGCTTCCCGTCAGCCCAGATGCAGTATACTACATTGGTTCCCACTAAAACAGCGAAGCAAACCCAGAACGCCACTCGCCATTGCACTAAAGTCGACTGAAAGTTAAAAAAATATTAAATTTATTAACCCTTTCGCTGTCCCGTGCACTAAATATAGGTCATTACTATTGTCTTGCTATTGTGTCTGAAAACCGGACAGTGAAAGTGTTAAAATAAAATTATATTTTACAATATTATTTTTCTTCTTCTTAACGAGCTCGCAGACTCCACACCTTGACGTAGTATACTCTATAAGAGGGAAGATATCAGTATCCTTATCGATTGGCAAATCTGAGTAAAAATTTGTGACTCACGGGAACACATGCTACAGCTATATTAATAGTATAGTTGTATCACGAATGGGTCAGCTCGACCGGGGATGGACCACGCTCTCACAGACTACCAGCATAAAATAGCAGCTCAATGCTGCTGTGTTTCGTTTGGTGTCTTAGTCCTCACGGTTGACAACGCATCTGCATTTCATTCTCAAACGAGGATAGATGTAGATGTTTATGGGCCACAGCAACCACTTACAAATCAGGTCAACTGTGTGCTCGCTTGTCACACTTATCTTATAAAAAAGATACAAGAAAGAGGTTTCATTCATTCTTTACGATTGGACGATATTACATAATAATTTCTTATATTTATACAGATACTAATAGGGGATGAGTCGCTCGCGTCCGTAGGCTTCGACCACCTAATCCTAGGCCCACCTTACACGTGTCCCCCGGGTGGTGCTAAACGAGCGACAAAGCCGAAACGACAGACTCGGCTCCTCGCCGTATGGTAGCGGCATAAAATCTACCACCACTTAGTTCGCACCATGAGCCAAGAAGGAAAAGAAATGGCCCCGAGTTCCCGGCGCCCCTTTAATGGGGCAGGGGTGCGAAGAATCTCCGGAAGAAAAACCGGCGACGAGGTTCGCCACCCGTCACGTCCTGTCTCCCGGGGGGGCGAAAAGTGGATTGCGGAGGCCCGTCTGGCCACGCTGAATGTATGTGGAGCAATGAATGATAAGATGGATGAAGTATGCGAAATGATGAATGATAGAGGAATAGATGTGTTATGTGTAAACGAGACGAAACGAAAGGGAAGAGATGTCACTGCACATGGCATGTATACCGCTTACTGGTCTGGAGTAGACGAGGCCGAGCGGGCATGCCAAGGAGTCGGTGTCATCCTTTCAGAAAGAATGGGTCAATGTGTGAAAGAGTATGAATGTGTTAGCCCAAGGCTGCTGTGGATGCGAATGAAAGTGGGCTTAAAGAAGTTGTTTGTGCTAGGGGTGTACGCCCCAGATATGTCTAAGCCCACTTATATCCGAGAGCAGTTTTGGGACATGGTAAGGCTGGTGTTGATGAAATGTAAGAAAAATGAAAATATTATTATGTTAGGAGATTTTAATGGAAGGGTTGGGGTGAAGAGGTCTGGTTATGAAAGGATATTAGGAACGTTTGGCGATGAAAGAATAAATGAGAATGGTGAAGACCTCCTTACCGTATGTGTGGAAAATAATCTTTTTGTGGCGAACACTTTCTTTCGCCATAAGAGGATTCACATGTATACATGGGAAAGAGGGGATGATAGAAGCATGATAGATTTTATAATTGTGGATGAAAGAATGAGGAGCGCAGTGGTAGATACAAGGGTTTACCGGGGGTCCAACGTAGGGACGGATCATTACTTGGTCTTATGTCGAATTAATGGTCTATTCAGACGTTGGCGGCATCGGACATCGGTGTCTACCACTGCGTTACAGCGTATAAGAATAGAGAGGTTACAAGATGAAGGTGTGAAAGAGAAGTATAAATGCAGATTGAGGGAAAATATAAGTGGGTTGAATGAATTATGTATGAATGATTTAGAATTGAAGAATGTATGGAATAATATTAAGAAAGTTTTGGTGGATGCAGCCACCGAAGTATGCGGTGTAAGTAAGAGAACGAATGAAAGGAAAAGTAATACGTTGTGGTGGGATGATGAGGTACGGATGGAAGTTGAAGCAAAGAAGAGAGCATGGCTAAATTTACTAGCAACTAAAGCTGGTAATTCTGGCGGTATGAATGATGAGATTGAAAGAAAAAAGGCAGACTTTACACGTATAAATAAGAGAGTAAAAGAAGTTGTTGAAAGGAAAAAGCAAGAAAGGATAGATAAGAATGATAGAAGGATATCTGATAACTTCCAGGCAAATATTAAAATGTTCTGGAAGCTCGTAAGAACTGCCAGGGGAAATTCAAAACAGCCTAGAATAAATGCTATACGAGACGAGAATGGCTGCATGCTGAATGATGAAGTTTCGAATTTAAAGAGATGGAAGGAATACTTTGAAAGCGTGTTTAAGAGTGAAGAGTCGTCTGGAATAAGTGAAATAGAAATTCCGGAAGAAGTGGAGAAAGGTAGGGAGATAAGTGTAGATGAAATAATGAAAGCAATGAAAAGCATGAAAGCAGGTAAGGCAGCCGGATATGATAGAGTATCACTCGAAATGCTGAGGGCTGGTGAGGATGTGGTTACAGGCCTGCTGCACACCTTGTTTAATTTGTGTTGGGAACTGAAACGGGTACCGGAAGACTGGTGCAAAGCCGTTATAGTCCCAATATATAAGGGAAAGGGGTCGCAGCAGGACTGTAAAAACTACCGTGGTATCAGCTTGCTTAGCATTGTGGGTAAACTGTATGCTAAGGTGTTAATTGAAAGAGTTATGGAAGAAACTGATGGAAAAATTTGGGATGTGCAAGCTGGATTTAGAAAGGGGATGGGGTGTACGGATCAAGTCTTTTCCATGCGCATGATAGCGGAGAAGTTTTTGGCTAAAAACCAGAAAGTTTTTTGTGCGTTCATGGACTTGGAAAAGGCTTATGACAGAGTGGACAGGAATGTGTTATGGCAAACACTGAACTCATTTGGGTTGAGCGCTGGCTTGATACAGGCATTAAGATCTCTTTATAGGGACTCTAGTGCTTGTGTCAGGATCAACGGGGTCTACTCGGACTGGTTTGGCATTCATAAAGGTGTCAGACAGGGATGTGTGGCTTCCCCGTGGCTGTTTAACTTATTTATGGACAGTTGTTTGCAAACTTTGAAAGTTGAAGAATGTGGGTTGAGAATGGGTGAGTCAACCGTCAAATGCCTTTTGTACGCCGATGATCAAGTCATATTTGCATCGTCGGCGGCCGAGTTGCGAATGATGGTTACTTTAATGAATTGGTCATTGAAAGAAAGGGGTATGAAAGTGAACGCAAGTAAGACGAAAGTGATGGTTTTTGAAAGAGAAGAAATATAATTAATAGAATCAGGCGTTACTTTGCGGAAATCCATTATATAAATGCTTTTACAAAAATTTACTTCGCAAATATCCGCGTTATAAAATAAAATGATGTGAAAGAGAAGAAAGTAAAACTTTATGTGAAATAAGAATAGAAGGGGAGTTGATTGAGCAAGTGGATGAGTTTGTATATTTGGGATGTTTATTTAGCAGGGATGGTAGATATGATAAGGATATAGAACGACGAGTGAACGCAGGAAATAGAGTGAATGGGGCTCTACACGCTATTATGAGGAGTCAGAATGTGTCAACTAAGGCACGTATGGCAATTCATAATGCTGTGTTAGTCCCTACTTTGATGTATGGTAGTGAAAGTTGGGTCTGGCAGAAGAAGCATGAGAGTAGAATAAATGCTGTAGAAATGCGTTCCTTAAGGAGTATGCTAGGGCTGAATCTGAATGACAGGGTGAGAAATAGTGTGATAAGAGAAAAGTGTGGTTTGCAAGATGACGTTGTGACAAGGATTAAGAAAGGAATGCTTCGGTGGTTTGGTCATGTAGAAAGAATGAACGAGGAAAGAGTGACAAAGCAAATTTATGTTGCGGAAGTGAACGGCAGGGTCGAGAAGGGACGCCCTAGACGAAGATTTATCGACCAAATCGGCGATACATTAAAATGGGCCAGATTAGGAGTACCCTTAACCGACGAGCGTGTATGCGTAGATATATGGATGTAAAAGAGGCGAGAGAGGTGTGTCAGGATCGCGCCAAATGGAAGTCCGTAGTCTCTGCCTACCCCTCTGGGTGACAGGCGTGAGTGTTTATGTTTTTTATATACTAGATATTTCTTTTTATTACTAAATGCTACAAACTTGTAATTAAACATAACTTTGACTAAAAATATATACCTAGTCAGGTCATAAATTCTGTCTCATGTTTAATATAAAATAATTGAAACAAGTTTATTCATTATGTAACCATTTATATACCAAAATAAACTTAACAAAACATAGATTCTTATGATACTAAAGTCCTTCAATCTGCGCGGCCAGTCGTCTATCGCAGCACGAACGAGGTCCATGTCAATATCGGCGGCTGCCTTAATAAAGGATGCCTCGAGTGACTTCAAATTGGGATGAGGCTTTGAGCACGCCTTTTCCTCCAAGTATTGCCATATCTTGTAATCTAACGGATTCAAATCTGGACTGGAGGAGGGCCAGTCTTCGTGCCGGATGAAGTCGATTTCACACGCCGCCAGTCAGTCTTGTGTGCTCTTCGCTCTATGAGCTGGCACCTAATCTTGTTGGAATACCCAGTGCCTGTTATTGAACATGGTATGAGAAACAGGTTCCACAAGGTTCGTCAGGACTGTATTTAGATACACAACTGCATTCGTTTTTACACCTTTCTCACATAAATGTACCTCTGTTAAGCCCCAATAAGAAACTCCCAACCATACCATGAGCGAGGATGGAAAATGACCTCGTTGGATACGCGGAATACGGTTGCTCGCTTTTTCACTACTGTGTGCGTACACCTTATCATTTTGTTTGTTGTAGCTCTCTTCTACGGTAAAATTTTTTTCATCCGAAAAAAGAATTTCCCGATATTTTTTTCCCGCGTACCGCTTCAACAAAGCGCGGCATCTCTTCAGTCTCAGGTCCATTAGACGAGCATTCAAACGATGTCCTGTTTTTCTTCGATATGCCCGAAGCCCTAAGTCTTTATTTAACACCCTTTTCACCGTGGTTCTGCTTAACCCCATCTGAAGGGCCAACAGTTTCTGC